CGAGCTATTTCTGTGCAACTGCAGTGCATTGCTGCAGCCTACTGAGTCTTGAAAAGTGATAGCTGAAAATGTTAGTAGCTTTTAGAAGCATCTCACTATTGCTCAAGAGGGGAGAGAGCTTTTTTGATCTTTTGAATGCTCCCCTCAGCTGTATTTTGGAAAGGAAGTAGAGGAAGCGTTCTCTGCTTCAGATTTTTAATATTTAAACTAGGAGCTTTCCATGGGGCAGCACCACAGGCTATAAGAAGACAACCCAGCGTGGTTTGACATCGTGCTTTTATTCTTATATTACAGGGGGGAAACCAGATGACATCACCGTCCTTCTTTCTATCGTAGCTGAGTACACAGACTGACGTGCCTGCAGTGCCAGCTGCCGAGGTGTTCATTATCCCCGAGCTCCCAGCTTCACACGTGTGGTTTCCTGCTGGCAGGATGGCTTTCTTCCTTTGCAGCTGATCTCTGCAGCCAGTTTGCGAGCTCGTTGCCTGTCTTGAGACACAACTGAAGTCCTTGTTAAGAACCACTCTCGTAGTGCACTGGTCTCTGTCTGCCAGCAAGAAGTGAAGAAGCAGCTCAAGGCTTGAAGCATGTCTTTCAGAGCTTAGCAATTGTCCATAAAAGGGGGAGGATCAATCCCACGTTGTTATTGCATTTGAAATGTGACTTTCAGATGAGTAGAATTGGTTTATCATCTTTCAGCCTAGATTCAATAGCTAAAACCTCTACAAGAGGGCATATTACTCTATCTGCTAGAAACATTCACTGTTCGTTAAAGGGTATGTTACAGAACACAGTTTCATAAGCGTAGTCTTGTTACAGTGGTAGCTGAGGTCTCGTGTTTCTAAGCTCCGGTTTTCAGGAGGTTTGTAACTGCTGTAAACATTCTGCTCTTGCCATACACGGTGTCAGCCTAGGAGCCTTTTCTAGTTCGGAATTTCAACAACATACTTTAGGTCAAGTTGTATGGATGCAAATGTGTTTTGTGATTTCAGGTGCTTAACCGTGATCTTAAAGAGTTCTGCAGATCATTCGTCCATAATGGGGCTGGTATCTGGATGTTTTGGCTGTGGATAACTATCTTTTTTTAAACAAAAACTATAACTTTGTCTAAAAAAACGAAAAAAAAACAAACAAAAAACCACCACCAGAGATGGTCGAAGCTGAGGTCCTTCAAAGCATTTTAACCCATCTGACCAGCACAGGTGATACGGCGTCAATGCTGCAGCAGGAGGCTGCACAGAGAGCAGATCAGCCTCAGCTCCGAGCATCGTTACTTTGGTACACAAATCTCTTGTTAACGAAACATCGTTTGTCTGAATATTGCCACTGCAGCACAGCACGTGCTGCACCAAGTGAAGGCCAGACCATCCTCGTGTTTTCTGGCTCCCACACGCACCTCTTTGCTTTATGCTGTGGCAGCAGCAGTACAGAAATGGAAACCATCAATGAATAATCAGCAAAACGCAACATTTCAGAAACTAAAGCGTAGGGTTTTCAGAACGAACCTTAATGATGTTTACAGTTATCTGACAGCCACTTTGCAATATTACATTTCCTTTGGAATCACAGCAGCTCGCAGTTGTTCCCCCCGTTCCAGCAAGCTTTCCTTTCTATTTTGAGGTTCATACAAATAGCTGATAGCTGTAAAGATATATATATTTTTGGTCAGTTTTTCATTAACTTTTTTGCCGGTAGAAGAGTATGTAGAAATAAATTAAAGCCATGTTTTTATATATAAAAAGTCGGGTAATGTGGATGTCTAGGTGAGTGCAGTTAAACTCGGTCAGTAAGCAGTCTTACCTGCTCTCAGGAGGAGATCTTTACTACCTGGTTTATTGCATTAAAACTGTTTAAGTTTGAGGTTACCTCAACTTGTTTAAAGAATTTTTGTGGACTTGTACTGTATATTTGCGTAACTATGTCGAGCTTTTATTTAAGATCATTTAACATGTACCATGTACATGTCATTTTACTCTATTTCAATGCATCGTGCTTGTAACAGGCATTTCATTTATAATAAGTGATTAATTTGGAAGCTCTTCAGTAATTTATCTGCTATTCCTAAATTGGCGTAATGTTACGTATCTATTTTAAATCACCTTGTAATTACTTGTCAAAATGCCTTAACTACCCTAACTTGACCAAAATCTTATTTTGGTGAGGGTATGGGGAGGATTATGTTAATGAAGAAAAACCAATTAGTTTTGCGATCCGTGGAGCAGTGAGTGGTGGGTAACTTTGCACAAATGTCAGTCCTTGTTTTTTAGAACTGAACAAGCTGGATCCTGGCTTCTCGTTGGAAGGAATGTATTCATGCTGCAGTACAGGGCTTTGTTTCTCGTCCTTGGGAGGGATGTTTCCCTCTCAGATCTGGGTATCTTCACGTTTTGTTCTCCAGTATTGACTGTCGTGTTTCTTCACTAGAGCTGATTTGATCAATTACGCTTTCCCCTGAACTTACCTTAAACGATGCCCTTGTAGACCCGGACTGTTTTGCACTCTGACTCCTCGCTCTCACTACGCTCATTTCCAGCCTTCATTTTTTTCCCCCCCCCCTCCACTTTTTAGAACTATAAATTGAGAAATGTACGTGGATCAGAGAGATGAGCACAGCAGAGGTGTGTGAGGTGCTGCATGTTCTGTGCTCTGCCTCTGCTGGTCCAGGGCTGCAATCCTCCAACGGAGAGATTCGGCCACCTCCCCGGAAGCGAACTGTGCTGCCTGCTGGGTTTGAGCCTCTGCCTTGCTGTTTGTGTTGAAGCAGTTCGTAGCTGAGCGGTGTCTGTTAAGCCATCTGCCTCACATCACATCCTGATTTATTTTTTAATAAAGAACAAAATTGGATTTTTATTTACAATTCATGAGTTTATCCCTCACTGGACACACCAAAGACCAGTAAAGCTGATAGCTTTTCCATCTGTTTATAAAGCAATACTGTATTATAAAGAATTGATATTTTTATCACGCGCTTGTTTTTGTTTTGTTTTCAGATATGCACTCGAAACATATCAAACCTAATTTCTTCCTATGAACTTAAGCTGTCTGCGCACAACAAATTTTTGGAAGAGGAAATGACAGGGCCCATACTATCACAGTAACTTTAAACGATGCACGAAGCAGGAACGCTTCTGAGCAGTTAGGTTTTGTGTGGTGGTGAGAGGAGCGTACAGGAGAGCTGTTCCGTAGCATGGGGACATGCAGGAACGGCCTCAGCTGCCACGGAACGTCCCTGTTAGCTGACAGGAGCTGGCTGTTGTGGAGCAGGAATGGGAAGGGAAGGGGGATCCCCGGTGTGTGCAGGAGTTGGGATTTCTGCGGCTGTGTTACTCGGTATATGGGTGAAAAAAGGGCTAAGATGTGACATGGAAGAGTCTGTGGTTCCGTGCTACTTGGACGGCTATCTTTGGGAGACCTACAGTGTACAGTTTCTCTCTACACTTTGTGCTCATAAAGAAGGTATGGCTGAGGAGAAAAAAAAACCAAGATTTTGGGACCAGACAGGACTGGGTGAGGGAGATGAGAGGTGAGGTAAAGCATTTTGGGAAGGAATTTCCATCTCTCAGCAGTGGGCATCCTTTCTCTAGGGAGAAACCAGACTGTGTGTGTAGAAAAGGACTGTATGAAGTAGTTTCTTCCAAAGATAGCTGAAAAAATGAAGCAAATCCGAGTCTGTATCTAATGAGGATGCTTTTTTTTGTTGTTGTTAAATGAGACTATCATCTATGCTTACCTAAGAGGCAATTATGTGAATTTCATGTCTGAGGTATAACTTATGCAGGAATAGTTCTGTAAATACATTTAAATGAATTGTAAAGATATTTAATAAATATAGTATTTATACTAAAATGTGTCTATTTTAATCAACGTCTGCAGAAACTCTGCTAATGGTACAAAGCACAGGTCAGGTGCCTGCTGCACCACGCACCCTTGGTGGCTGTGGCTGTTCTTGTCCTGTGCCCTGCTGCTGCAGTCTGTTGCTGACTCAGTGGAAGTGATGAGGGAAAGGAAAAGAACATTCAAACCTGAAACACCAGAACCCTTAAACTCAGGCTTCAAATTGGTTATTGCATCACTTTTATTTTTTAAATGCATTTTTATGCCAACTTTCTTGCACTAAGCTAAGCACTGGTTCTACAAGCTTCTGCCATAATACCAGCAACCATACAAGCAGTAATTTGGCTGTAGTGGAGCGGGTGGTTTATTGCAGTGCTTGTAGCTGTACAAGAGCAGCTTTGTCTGAAGCTCTGACACAGCTGACTTCTCTTGTGAGACTGAAGAGCTGCACATACAAAGCAGCGTATCAGCCGGATATACAGAACTAAATGACTTAACTTTGTGTTAGGACAGCATCCTCCTTTTAGAATGATCAGAATACAGGTACAGTGAGTTTCCATTAAGTTCTAGCTCGCCCAAGAAGTTTAAGGATACTTTCATAATAGAATTAAACTTTGTTCTAAAGCTAAAAACAGCTCTACGTGCCAAATACACGCTTAACTTTCAGGGCAGCCCACGATAGTCTGAGATTCATTCATTCCACCTTACTGGAGAACTTGTGAGCTCTGGGTCTTGCCAAAATCCTCTTCTGTGTCACTAGCTGTTGCTAAACTGTGGAAGGCATGACTGACGGCGTCCTTCTCCTTAGAAGAGACTGCTCCAAAGAACAACGAATGAAACTGGAAAATGCAACAATCACAGGAGTAAGACACTGCATGTGAAACAGAATTTGAGGGCTAATTATTTCTGCAGATTGGGACTATGTGTAGTATTCAGCTTCTAAATGGCATCTAAGGTATAACACTGTTTTATCATAGAATGTAAATGTGATTGGGAAGGTCCTCACCTTGTGATAAGGAGACTCTGCTTCCAGCACTGCTTGGTCATCTGCCTTTGTTACAGCTGTTCCTCCTGTGCCTGCAGTACCTCTGTATGAGACTGGGGGAACACTTCTGACCTGTTTTGCCAAGGGACTTGCAGGTGCCCCTGACCCTGTGTTCTGTGCCTGCCCGTTCCATCGCGGCTTTTTGGAAGCAACTGCTTCAGCGCTGCCATCCTTATCAAAGCATTTGTGCACACGTGGCTTTGAGCTGAATCAGAGGGAATAGGTCAGTTTTGTAACATCCTCCTGCGTGCCTTTGTTAGGAGGTCTTAGTGCTAATGGAAGGCACTACAGCTTTAGCTTAGCTTCTCCACAACCCCTCTCACTGCAACAAAGCCCCATGGAGATAAAGCTGCAAGAGTATGGAGTGCTCCCCCTTGCACCAGAAGTCTCTGTGCTGTTCGTGTTATCAAGAAATGGCGCCCAAACTCTCGGCTCCTGGCTCACCGTCTGCTGCAGAAGTGGTGCAGCAGTGCAAGTAAGGAAAATGATCTGTGATCAAGAAGGGAGCATCTGGCTAAACCTTTCCTGTGCTGACAGGTAAGATGTGAGGTGCGTTGGTGCTCAAGCACACGGTGGCTGTCAGAGCTGTGGCACTGCCTATACGAGTATCAGACATAGCTGCGAGCTTCAGGGTAACAAATGCACTGATGGGGAGGGAGTGGTCTAGCTGTCGTGCTTTGCATCTCAAACTATTTCAATCTTTTTCTGAATCTATCCAATGCACAGCTTTCCTATGAATAAAGGCTCCAGGATAAGTACAGTGCTTATGAATACCCTGCACATCACTGAGTAGGAGAATCTTAAACTCAGCTGTTTCAGCCTGCTGTTCCAGTCTGCCTCCCTCCCCCACCTCTGCAGCCTGCTGTTACCTTTCCTGCATCTGTGAGAAGCACGCAGGCTCCTGGGAAGCCATCTCACTTCTGATGTCAGACAGCGTAGCCAAAATAAAGCTGGCTTCCAGCACTGCGTCTTCAATGCTGAAAGCAACTGGTCTAAACGCAAACAGCCACATACAGGGGTCTCGTTAAATGCTTTGTGCTCAGTAAGAAACTACTTCACCCCATGCTGCAGACTAATTAGAAATATAACTTGTAGCCTGACATGAATATCTGACTGTTACAGTTAAATGCTTGAGTAACCTGCAGATCAAAACAGACAGGGTGCTTATATCTCAACCATTTCCACAGGCAGCTCCAGAACGTACTTCCCAGGCATGTCCAAGTGGATGGAGACAGGAACACTGGTAGCTTCTGAAAACGCCAGCAGTCCCTGAAAAGAAGGGGTGAGGGGTTGAGTACTATTTTAAAAGTGGGAGAAGATTAATGTTAGAATTCAGCTGTTGTTTACTGGCAAAAAAAGGTGAAGTCTACTTTAAAGGGAAAAAGGCTACTGCTGCTAGATCACGGTTTCTGCTTTCTCTGCCAGGAGCTGTGCAGGTAGAATTACTGTGGCCGTGATGCTTATGCAGCAGTGTTCATCTTATCTCAGCATTGGGTAGATGGGGTTTGTTGTTTTAAGAGTTTCTTTGGAGATCCTTTCCAAAGCCATTCCTCAGCCAGCTGATGATAGTGCTGCTGGCCGGCAGGCCTGGTGGAACACCAGAGGCTGGGATTGTTCTTCTGTGTTATCCAGGTCAAAGTAAGGGAAAACAACAAACTCTTAACCTACCCTCAGTTCTCTAAGGCAAAACGTCACTTCGGAATCGACTCCAACTTGAAAGTAGTCAAACTCATCTGGACTCAGCTGTATTTCGGTGACCATTGTCTTTGAAAAGTCTGTTTGAAATAACAAGGCTGGAGTGAAACCTCAACAATATGATTATAATGATTTTTGTATCGGCAGCATCTCAATAAATAATTGGCTAATAATAAGTGGCTAATAATAGTAGATGTCCAGCTTATTTACATTAATTTTTGTAGTTAGGTAAAACAAAAAATCCTGACATTATTTACAGCGCTCTCTGTGGATTTACGTGGCTTTTAACAGAATTTATTTCATATTCCACAACGTGCTGTAAGCCCAGCACTGCTGCCAGCCTTGTAAATCTGCTCTCCCACAGGCACTACTGCTCTGGAAGACAATTGGGAAGACCAAAAGCAGTGTGACTTTAACAGATGGATCACAATCGCTGGCAACCTTCAGAGGACTACAAACGAGGGCTGAGGTTATTTGTTCTAAACTGTCATTTTTTTTCCTGGTATTATGTAAGTGAAAATGGAAAATAAGCTCTTCAGCATCAGGTGTTGCTCACTGTCATTCAACTGCTCGTTAATTATTGTCAGGTGTGTGAAAAGAAAACCAGAATGCCAGAATGCATCACAGTCTCAGAGGCAGTCAGAGCTCTGTCTGCACTGCGCTCCTGTCCGGCTCTCCTCCACAGCCTGACTGCTGCACAGCACTACCAACAGGTCCCACGTTTCTGTTTCTCAGCCCCCAACACACCACTGCACGCTCACACACCCCTGTGGGGTTCTTAAAACTGTAGAAACAAACGCCTGTAAGAGAGCTGCCAACTTCTATGAGGCAGAGCCACCGCCTGCAGCTGAAAACAAGTCTCAACAGCTGCCACCTCTTTGGAAAGGACACCTGAACGTGGAACACAATCCATCACCAGATAACGCGCTCAGAGGACGTGTTTTGTTTCAGTGTGTACAGAACATTTGCTGCAGGCAGCGCTTCGCATCACATGTGACGCAACAAAAGCAAAATGCCTCCAATTCCTTCTTTCTCTTCTGCCATCGACACCAGGCAAGTATTCCTAAACCCCAAGTTCTCTGAGGTACATTAATCCCAAAGGATGGCAGTATGAGCAGCGTTCCTTTGTGTCTTCTGTTTCCTTACCAGTGTCTTCCTCAGTGTAACTCCTGAAGCAAGCCCTCGTTGGAGTAACTGATAAGGTGACTTCTTCTTGACTCGTTGGAAAGTGAACCATTATATCAGTCAGCAGCCTATGAAGATGAATTTAGTACTAAAATGATTTTACATGAGACAAGTCATTGTCTAGCAATGGCAAAGGTGTGGATTCAAATCGTGGACTATGTGCTTCTCAAGCTGGCAGCAGGATTAATGGCACAACAACCCCTGATCAAATCCAGCTCCTGAAGCTGTTATGTGAAATATCCAACATCACAGCAAGGGATTTAGCAGCAATTCACCATTTCTGAGTGTGGGCCCTACCCACATTTTGGTCATGTTAGTGACAGCTGGAGCAGCATTGTCCTCTGGATTCTTGTTATTCTTTTCCCCAGAACAAAACATTTGAATGTTCATTACCTGGAGTGGGCTCTGAGGACATTTGGACACATGTGCTTTGCAAAAACAGCCTGCAATGGGTCACATTCTTGAAAAGCCAGATTATGTGTTTTTACAATACCTAGGTATAAAATATGTGAATGAAAATCAATGCTGGTCTAGAATTCTAACTTTTTAATATTAATTGCTCTTCCAAGACGTCTCAACAAAGGAAATAAATGACTCACTCTAGCTGTGTAGCAATATCTCACCCACAAATAGAAAACCAAATTCTGGTGCCCTCTGCCTTCCTTCATCCTCTTTGTTATATCCTCAAGTCTCTGACATTTTTAAGAATTCACAGCAAATGACTTAACAGCAACAGATGCAGGAAGAAAACCTTCAGCATTTAATTGTTACAGCAATATAAATGCTGGTGGAAAACAAAGGACAATTAACAAGTACACATAATTACTGACCAGATAAAAGTCAGTCTGGGAAATGCTGTTATAACTGCTTTTTAGCAAGGCAATGTCACGACATAAATTATGATGTGAAGAGGCTGAAAGCGTTTGGCATAATGTCCCATCAGTGACACTCAGTTAATAATTACACCTCGTCCTGCTGTCAGACTGCTCCTGCTTGTGGAAATGCACTGTATGCATCACGTACCATTTCTGCAGAGGAGCTGAAAAGTTATGTGGTGATCTTTAGCATTTGTGTAAATGCTGCATTTCTCCACGTGCCTTTCCAGCACGTTTACACATCTGAATATAGGAAGAACTGACTGAAAAAAAGCACACAATCAGTGCAGAGGTTACTCTCTAAGACATTTTGCAGTGTTATTTCTCTCATGCAGTTCATCCCCAGCTCCTGCTTTTATGACTGCTCTGTAAGCAGAGCGCAGGCTGCTGGTGTTGATCTTCGCTGCCCTCACCCACCCACAGCCCTGTTTGCAGAACAGTGTGTCAATGTTCTCCAGCTCACGCTGTTCTCAAAGGCTATAGGGAAACCCTCATCAGACAGAAACACAGCATTCCTTCACCCAAGATGAGGCTGATTCAGACTTTGGAATCTGCAAGGTACAGCTCAGGACTACACCTTTTAAACAATTAAACATTAACACTCCCTTCTGCAGAACTGCTCAGAAGCCCTTCAGTTTGGAGCAACCTGCATGCCCATAGGATCCTCCCCTACCACTTCGATTTGAAAGCGGGCTGACTTCCTGCTTTCAAAGCTGCATGTAGCAATGTGTTAAACTATACCTTAATGATCAATTTACATGCAAGTGACAACTGTTTTTCTTTCTGACAGGGCTGAGGCGCAGCTGTGCAGCAGTAATGTTGAAAAAACACGGATGAGAAGAAGACATACGCATATGCTGACCGAGAAGAATTCACTGATCTTAAGGCAAGCTGAAAATAAATGCAAAGTAATTCATTAACTCAGAGCTGTTTCGTATTGAGCCTTTAACAAAAAAGCCATCTCTGTACCTTCAGCGTGGTATCTTCAGAGCCACACCTAAGCCACAAAACCTTTATGTGTGTACATCTCCAAACAAATCCAGATGCATCACTTCTATTGCCGTGTTCAGACTTATCCCCTTTGTTATTACCGGTCAGAAGTCCCGGCCCTTATGCAGACATGGGAACCCAGTGCAGGGATGTGTGAGTTAAGCCTTGAAGTGCAGATTACCCAGCCCTTAGAAGTTGCATTTAAGTTATGTGAAAAACTGGTGCCTATTCTAAAACAATCCATGAGATACACAAATAAGCAGAGACTTCTAGCACCTAAACAACATCTCATTTACAAACAGTATTTCTACTTCTGATGTACCAGCCCCACAGCATGTTGAGCTCATTGCTTTTAATTAAGAAAGCTCTAGAGAAAAGAACAATTCTGAGGGAAGTGGTGTCTGATTAACAGGAGCCATTCTTCCTGCTGAGTCACACCAGGGCAAAAACATGTCATTTAAAGGCAATTTCTGATGCGAAGCAACACATCAAACTTCTGATTCGTGACAATGGGAATAAAACCCTTGGTATTAATCCGGATGTCCTGGACGAGCATCAGGTAACCAAATCCCCAGGAATATCAGGGACAGAGGAATGACCCTTCCGTGATATCATCTGCATAATTACAATCACGGAAAGCATGGCATTTGTCCACCTTGAAAGTGGAGGGAGGAAACAGAATGCAGCTCAGACTGAAGAATACCTGCAGGAAGAACTAACACCACAAACACTGTTTCCAACAAAGACTTCAAACTGTCAGTAAATCCAATGTACTTACACCTCTGTCTATGGGGTCAAAGCAGAACTCATCGCTAACCCGTGCCATGGCGTGCACTGCCCTCCCAAACACTGCCAGGGAAACAGAATGGCATGAGATGCATTTCAGGTTCTATTGAAAAACAAGTTACACCTCGTTAACTTTCTCCAGAATAATTTAAGGGAAAAAGTTAGACATTTATCATGCTTTTCCAAGAGAAATGATGGTGTGGGGGAAAGCGTTGCCCTTTTTTAGTGTCACTAACACCTCTGTGTTTCCACCCAGAGGAGCACTGTGGATTTGGTGTGTCCCTTTGCAGCTGTACAGCCCAACGTCACCAAACAATCTCACACTGACGGCACAAAATGCTGCTTTGGTCAGAAATGTCACTCTGTAGATGGCCACAAGACTGAACAAGCAGAACCCTAAGAAGCCCACAGAGAACCTGCTCTCAGATTTTACCACAAGCTCAAAGCTCTGTGAGGAACTCTCACAGCGTGGTGCCACGAGGGTAACGGCTCCTGTGCCCCAAACCCCGCTGTGGCAGCCGCACCCCACTTAGGGAAGGCTCTTCACTCTGCCCCGACGTGCCACCACCTCCCCTGAGGTAACAGGTACCTCTGAGGTGCGTCCCCCCAATGACACACTTCATGGCTGCCCGCCCCGCGCCCTCTCGCCTCACGTAACAGAAAAGGCGGGAAACCCCGCTCAGAAGAAAAAGACCCGGATGTAACCGCCGGAGAAACGCGTTTCGCGCTCTTTTGGACTTACGGTGGAGCCGTAGCGGAGGGGAAGTACAGGCGGCCTGACTTCCGGGAGAAGCCGCCTGACTTCCGGGAGAGAGCGCTTGACTTCCGGGAGTGGCTTCATCGGGCGGTGCGCTGCCGAGCAGGATGGTGAGCGGAGCGCTGGGTCTCGCCTTTGGGCTGCGATGCTCCTGAGGTGCTCCCGCGGCACCTCCAGGCGGCTCAGCGCCGACGGCGGCCCGAAGGAGGCCCCGCTTTGTGTCGGTCGGCGCCTAAAAATCCGCCTGTGGCCGAACTGAGGGAGATGGAGCGGGGAGGGAGCAGCGGGGCCGTGGGTGGAGAGCAGCGAGGAACCGTGTGTCGTTGTTGTTTAATTTTATTTTTACCGTTTGACGCTGCTTTCATAACATCGACAATTCATTAATTATGATTTGCCTATTCATTTGGCTCTGTTTTCTTTTCTGTTGCTTTCCTTGGTTTAACATTGATCACGCCTCGCCCTGTTTCCCATTCCCCTGTCTGCAATCAACTCCTCCACCCGCTCAGGCCGGGCACAGAGTAAGTTCCGTCCCGGCGCTGGGGCTGCGGTGGGGCTGGGGCCGCTGCTCACATCCCCTCAGCTCCGGATGTAATACGCTTCCATGCTGTTAGGTTTTGTGGATGTAGCCTACGGAGCTGTTTTTTTTTTTTTTTTTTAATTATTATTATTATTATTTTATTTCTTAATTACCAGGAGCTCAGATGTGGTTTGGGAAAATCTGGGGCCTGCCTGTTTGTTCAAGGGAAAAGGTCTTTGAGCTTCGTTGGGGTTTTGTGGAAGTGGCAGCAGTTTGATTAGACATCAAATGCAGAGCTGCTATTCCATGGCCCAGACCTTTAACCATCAGTGAGTGCATCTGTTTAGTGCCACTTTAATCAGCAATGAGACATTTTCAATTAAAAATAGGGGGAAAAGGCCTCCACAGCCACCCGAGTCCTCTATGCATCTTAACGTGGCTGCTAACATAACGACAGCTGCGTGGCTTAAAAATATAAGGTAAAAGCAAGTATTAAATAAGGTAAATGTGGTTACTGCTGCATACATCGGTATATCTGTGTATACAGACTATGTCTATTTGCAGACAGATCTGGTGGCTGTTAGTTTAGGACTGGAAGATAAGCTTTTAGGAACTGGCTTACTAACAAAGCTTTTTAATTGGAAGATAAACTCAATTAGTAAGGGGTTTTAGTCAAATCAATGGGGTGACCATCTCTAAATCCACTGGGTTTAATGTAGTAGCATTACGCCCCATGCTGCATAGAGCTTTTCATGCCCTTCTTGCAAAATTAATTTATTGCTACTTTGCTTGCATTAATTATTTTCTCTATTAGCGGGCTTAAGACTGTAGTTTAACGTTATACATCTTAATCTGGTTGTGTAATTTTGAAGTCCCCCCTTAAATTTATGTTCTCATTGCATCTGTAGAACTGAAGCTCCAAATACATAGACCTGGTAACAGAAACAGTGGATGCAGTAGTCCAGGTTATTTTTTCTGCAGTGTTCTCAAGGGTTTTGTGCTTTTTTTTCCCTCTTCATTTTGTTAGTCTCACTATCCTATGATATGTGTTCAGAACAAGCTTCCTGTTCTGATTAACTATTAATACATGTGACAAATTTGCTATTTGTTATTACTATTTTATAACTTAAATAGAAAGGAGCTTTAAAGGGATGTGGCCACAGTTCAGCCAAGTCTGTGCTTGAGAGCATCTGATACAGATGTCTGATATCTCTTCTAGTTTAAGGGGAAAAAGGGAGTGGGACAGCTTATGGTAGTTCCCAATTTTGTGTAAGTCACATCAAGTAGTAATGCAGTTCTTCTGTTATACTTTGCAATGACTTTCAGCAACAAAATCACAAAACCTCTGCAGGTTTGTAAGGCTTTCCTCTGGGTAGCATTCAGTATTAGTAAGGGCCCCTGTTTTCACTGAAATATGGAAATATTCCTTTATTTAATTCTTATTTTAGTAGCTTTTATATCAAAATACAATTGGGAAACAGAAGAAGACATTGTGGTGCTTTTTGTTACCTAATAATTCTCATCTTAAGTATCTGTAATGGCTTTTCTTTCCTGTCATGACGCCCGTTCAGTTGGTGTTAGTGTTAGGAGATCTTCACATTCCACATCGATGCAACAGCCTCCCAGCCAAGTTCAAAAAGCTGCTGGTTCCAGGGAAGATCCAGCACATCCTCTGCACAGGAAACCTCTGCACCAAGGACACTTATGACTACCTCAAGACCCTGGCTGGGGACGTTCACGTTGTCAGAGGGGACTTTGATGAGGTAGTGACCTCTTTTGGTGGTGGTATTTTGTGTTCAAGGCAGTGGTTGAGTTACTTGTACTTCTAAGTAAAAAAGTGGGCAGTCTGAGCTTATTTAGTGCTAAGAGTGAGAAGTAAACCGAGTAAAAGGGTTCCAATTAATATGAGTTGCAGTCAGTGTGATTAAAACTGAATTGGGCACTGAGCTAAGGCTAAGACTAGCTACCAGGACCTCCTGTTGTTTCTCTCTGAAATTCCTGGCATCTTTACCAAACTCTTGACAGTGCTTATATTATAAAAGCAGCCCCACGCTGGGGCAGCAGAACCAATCAGACTGACTTTTAGGTTTCATCTAGTGCTTTTTTTTTTTTTTTTTTTTAATAGATGAATTTGTACATCTAAACAGTTTGTAGGGTTTTTTTGTTTTATTTTTTTTTTTTTTTTTTTTTTTTTTAATAGATGAATTTGTACATCTAATCAGTTTGTAGGGCTTAATTAGCTTATTTTGCTTTTCTTTTTTTTTTTTTTTTTTTTACTTTTGATTCTTAGAACCTGAATTATCCTGAACAGAAAGTTGTAACTGTTGGACAGTTCAAAATTGGTCTGATTCACGGCCACCAGGTTATTCCTTGGGGTGATATGGCCAGCCTGGCACTGTTACAGAGGCAGTTCGATGTGGACATCCTCATTTCAGGACATACACACAAATTTGAGGCGTTTGAACATGAAAACAAGTTCTATATCAATCCAGGATCAGCTACAGGAGCTTATCATGCCTTGGAGAAGTAAGTAAAGCATGAGAAACAGCTGTGGGATATTTCTTTTTGATAAGAAAACTTGATCAGGTTGGGATTTGCCCAACGTTTAAAAATGTAGCCTTTAGTAGAGGAGGACTCGTTGTCCTTGCTGAGGCTCCTGGCCTGAAACGGATGACTGAAGTCCTTAAAGCTTCAGATCTGACATACTGTGCTTACAAAACTCACATCAGTTTTTCTCAGGAGATTCTTGCTACGAAGTCTGACAGTGAAACACCATTAAGGTTATTTTAAACACGCTCTCAATTCATGTGATGTTTTTTTTTCCTTCTTTCTAGCAACATCATCCCGTCATTCGTGCTGATGGACATCCAGGCTTCTACAGTAGTTACGTACGTCTATCAGCTAATTGGAGATGATGTGAAAGTAGAAAGAATTGAGTACAAAAAATCTTAGAAGATATTTGCTTGTGTGGTATTTTTACTGTCTCATTCCAGAACTGCATGTTACTGCAATCCTTCCTTACTAGTTTACAGAACTACACTTAATGTTTAACAGCTTAGCAGTGTAACTTCTTGGTAATAACTTTAAAACATTGTTTTCTTCTTTTCTATGTATGAATTGATTTGTGAAATATATTGAAGTGCTGTTCTTTCACGTTGTCATAAATTTCACTTCATAGAAAAGCAAGCCTTTATGAACTGTTGAAGAAAATGCAACAGTTGCACTCGGTTTTGAGATGTCTGCCAGTACTTTCATTTGGTAATGCTTATCAGATGTCTCCAGAACAGTGCATGGAGCTTTCAAAAAGAAGACTGCAAAAGGCTCGAATAAAAATAGCAAGGCCCCTGGGAGGCATGTTTGGTTTGCTTCAGAATCCATCTGAGGTTTGGATTTCTCATTCAGTATCAATGTAGTCCTTTAAGTGGATGTATTTTTGAAAAAAATTGGAATGAACACATACCTTGGAGTAGTAATTTCACTGTAGGAAGCTGAACCTGAGTTGTTTTATTACTCGGAGCACTGCTGTGCTTTAATGAATGACTGTCCCATTAAATCTGTGAACAGTGATGAGCTTTCCTTTATTTATGGCTTATATTTGATATTACATCTACCACTTGGCTTTGTGTAAAAAGGTTTTAAATAATGTAATTCCATACAGCACTTGTACTGCTGCTGAAGGCTAAGAAGTTGGTTGTTGAGGAAGGCTGGAGCTTTTGTCTCTCCTGGTCCCACGTACCTGCAGGGAACTGAATGCATTTTAACAGCTCTTGCTCCTTATGACTGCTGATTTTCCAATATAAATAAAGTTGTCTCTGCACAACATCTAGAATTTAGAATGGTGGCCTGTCTCCTTTGCATATGTTGTCCTTGGCAGTAAAAGAAATGGTAGTGAAGTGTGAGCAGTAGTAGTGAAGCACAGCAGTGAAGGCTGTGCTGTAGTTGTCACGAATGTTTTTGTGAAACAAGTCCATAAAACCCAAAGGATCAGCTAGAACTTACAGCTCTGTGTTGGTAACTTTGGCTAAACACCTTCTATTTGAAATGAACCTGCTTTGCTTACAAAAAAACCTCAGTATTTGAGCTTGGTAACTCAGACACTTTGGCTGCTATTTCCTGCAGTGAAATACGTGCTCCTTGAATTCTGCATGCATTCAGCAGGAAAAAGAACATCACCAACTTTTCTTGGCAAATTTATCTGTACATCAAAGCTTATAAAAGACTTTAAGGTCAATTTTGATATCGAAGTTGGTTTATTTGTGCTCACTGTAATTAAAATCACAATTTGTCTGTATATTTTACATGAAGCTGTCTATAAACTATATTTTACATGAAGCACAATGCTTCCAGTTTAAAACTTGATCACAATTATGTCAAGTTATGTCTGCATGAACAAAATCTTAGTGATCCTAAGAGCAGACTTCAATTATTAGAGAAATAATACAGAAATAAATGAAATAAAGTTAATCCTTCTTAAAGTCAAAGTGCAGAATATGAATGTTGCTATTGTATGCAAATAGGAACTCCTGCTCTAAATCAAACTTCTTTTTTTTTTACAAGGGACAGCTTATGGAAACACTCTAGAACAGATGAAAGGAAAAAGAAAAAGATGTGGAAAGCTAGGGCCAGCTTTTGGTGAAAGCAGTGAGGTTTTAGTTCAGAGTTTACTTGACCACGATGTGCATTGTGAATGCATAACACTCGTCTTGCCAGCAGAGGGAGAAAAGACTGAGGGTAAATCAAGACTTCATAGATGGCAGTTCTAGTACACACGTCTCCTGTGGTCCATTCAGGTACATCTGGAGGGTAAGAGGACAAAGGACAAATATGACAAAGGTTTGGAAAACAGGCTGTAATCTGAGACTTGTGAAAGTGCTTGAAAGCATGAAGTTTATCACTGTTCAGATTTGATTCAGGTAAAATGTGTTTGAATCAACAAAGGGATTTTATTACATAGAATATATTTTACTTAAAAATCAGCTAACAAGTATTTTTGCTAGAAGTTGAGTGAGAGTCCCAGATTAGAAAAAAGGAAAAAGTGCTGTATGAGGTACAAAAGTGGTTTATTTTACCTTCAGAACATCAGAGGATTTATCTAGCAGAGTAGGGTTTCCATTTTTCTCTTGATACTCTCGAATTAGGGCTGCTGCATCCTCAATGCTGTAGGAGGAAAGTTTGTTAACTTTGTCAACAGAAATTCTCTGAAAAGCCAAGAATTAAGCCATACACACCAAACTATAAACCGAAGTATGGCTCTGCAGTTCTGAGGTCAGATAGATCTGGTGATGGAAATGTAAAGTAAAGGAGAGATGCAGTGTTTGTAAGCAGTGCATCCTCTGTTTTATTAACCTACCAGTTCTTGTTGGCAAAATAATCCACCAGTTCTTTCATTCGGTGAGTGCTCATCAGCTGCTGCTTCACCAGTGGAAAATACTTCGTTTTTAAGAACTTTTCATATAGCTTCTCATTTATGATACTGTCCAAAATCAAAGATCTAATCTGTAGATTTAAGTTTCAGCAATGGGAAAGTATTAATATTTTATACATAAAAAATAATAAACCTTTGAATTAAAAAAAAAACAAAACCACCAGGTTTTTCTTATTGGACCTCCCATAAAGCTGAATTATTTCTTCTGCAGTGCTGAAAAATGGCAGATTTTCTGAAGGCTAATTTCAGATTTTGTTTTCAGATATGGAATTAATTAGAAGCTTGCCTTTCAGCAGCTTATGCACAGTAAGACAAGAGAGTACAGTTTCATAACCACTTGATGTTTCTGCTTAGAACATTTTTTAGAAAAATAAAGCAGTGCTACTGCAAACAGTGCTGGGACAGTCTGTAAGAAAGCACTGTGTGTATGCATGTGTGTATATCTGTATCTATAAAATACTAATCCAGTTGCACAACAATAAGAAAACAGCAAATTCTGCTATAAACTTCAGAAGTGTACGTTATGTCAACTGATTTTTGGCAAGGTCAGAGGAGAAAGGAAAAATGTTGTGTACAGGTATCACTGAGAAAAGCCTGTAAGTCAAAGGTAAATGAATTAAATCTTACCTACCTGAGAAGCAAAAGCCACCACTTCTCCAGCATTCATATGCTCATCTATTTGTTGCAGCACAGTTTCAGTATTACATGTTGACAAGAAAGCCTTGCAAAAAAAGAAAAAATTACCATTCTGCCAATAATTGAAGTAGAAGTTTTCCTTTCAGAACAAGTGTTTGATTTACTCAAGAACAATTAATATTTTAAAACTCAAGGCACAAACATGTAACTCAAACCAGGATCTGTGCAATCGGACTGAAGGAGTAGTAATTCCTATTGCTGTTAACAATTGTGTACATGTTCACATGGGTGGATAGTGATAGAGCAAGGGGGGGTGGTTTTAAATTACAACAGGGAGGTTTAGGTTGGATATTAGGAAGAAGTTTTTCACTCAGATGGTGGTGAGGCACTGGAACAGGTTGCCCAAGGAGGCTGTGGATGCCCCATCTCTGGAGGCATTCAAAGCCAGGCTGGATGTGGCTCTGGGCAGCCTGGGCTGCTGGTTGGCGACCTGCACACAGCAGGGTGTTGGAACTGGATGAGCACTGTCCTTTTCAGCCCAGGCCATTCTATGGTTCTATAATTTTCAAAAGTTATTTTCATGTAGAAGTTACAGGTTTTTGACTCATTGCCATACATTTCTTACACTGGTACTATGATTTGGGAAGATCTTCCTGACCTTAACTTTTCTGAAGGAAAACCTAAGAACTGAAGATACCTTTACTAGTGCCAGTTTGCTCATGACTGATACAAGCACAGCCTTTAATACTTTACCTGGAAAAACGATGCAGAACGTAAATGAATGGAAAGAAAGAACAGAAAGGAATTTAAATAGATGTATGAGGATTGCTAGGTCACGGCCTGAACCAGTGATTGAGTACCAGGTGAGAAGGTGTGGCTAACCCAGGGCACACAGCTGTAAGCAATGCACCCAGGATCCACCTCTCCCCACTCATTTAAGTTAGCAGCAGAAGCAGCAGGATTCTTTTTAGAGCTCTCCCCTTCTAGGGACTTGGCTGACTTTCAGAAAGGGTAAGTCGCTTCTCCTTGTATTGTCTTCTGAATTGTATCTTGATAAATGCATTTATGAGCATGGTTGTATCCTGGTAGAAAGCAATTTCATTGCCTTCCTTTGCTCCATAAAGTATATCCTCACCATTTGTAAGAGAAGGTTCACAAGAGAACTTGTGTATCAAGCATCTTTATTAGCAGGATTCGATAGATACAATCTGTTGTTGAACCAGCCCTCAGCAATTACATGGGTCGTCAGTAGCTTTGTACACTGCTTTGGCACATGTCTTGTGTATGTTTCTGTGTGGTTTTTCTTCCATGTGCACTGACTGTTTACCATAAGCAAACATTTGATGTTAGAGAGCCTAAAACTTAGGGCTGTGTTTTCAGGATGCAGATATGTAAGTCAGCCACTAAAACCTATCTGCTGAACCCTCCCAGAAGGCCCTCTCTAACACAAAAAAGGCAGTCATATGGCAAAGCTGCTGAGAGTGACTTGAAGCTTAAAAAATGAGTAAGTGTTCACATGATCTCTTTCAGAAGGAGAAATTTGAGGTAATAGTCTCTGTGGGTGGGAGATGTCTAACATCTGTTGGCAGTGATAGGCTGCTGCTAGTCTAAAACTGCCACCTTCCAGTCTCTGTTGAACATAACACGCGTAAAAGGCATTTCCCTTGTTGCAATATAAAACTTCTTTACCTGAATTTGCTGCTCCCGCTTCTCAAACTGAGGAATCAGCATCAGGCATCCCAAAGCAAAAGCTGGAAGGTCCAACTGTGCGTATTGTTTAGCTATTCCAATGACATCCAAGTCAGCCAGTACAGGACACCTTCAGTAGAAGATGAGGAAGGAAGTTCTCAATCATGCTATGCATAAACAGATGGCTCAGCGTTGTCAACAAAACCACTTTGAGAATTTTGAGCCAGATAAAACACTTACTTGAGCAGAATCACAAAACACTCACAGCATTCTTCTATCTGTTTAGGACTTGGTGGACATGAAGCTAAGAGATAAAGAAGCCATGATAAAGTAAATAATTTAAGTTGCTATACAAGCATGATAATATATAAGCTATATATATATATATATATATATATACACATATACATGATGTATACCAGCTAATAATCCTACCTGTGAGAAATGGTGACAAAACCACACTTCGCCAAGCTCGACTGAAGCTGGGAATCTGTGACAGCAAAATTCTAAAATTACAATGTTGCCTATTTATTTGCTGTGCTTGTGAACGCAGACATCTTGACCCGTTACAGGAGGAAGGAACTGATGAATTTTCTTTTTATATTGATGAACTATTCCCTAACATTGCTTTCCTCACCTTGTAGTTTAAGATCTTGCTATATTTTGACTGATAGTTATTTAGTTTAACTTCAAAAACCCTAAAAATAAGTGTTTACTGACCACAGCATGAAATACACTATGTTAATCAGTAATTAATAACTATACTCCCCTGCATATTGCAGTGTCATGAAATAATAATTCAAAAAGCATCTTTTCATGCACCCTTTTGGTAGATGGCTTGCATTCAGTCCCATGTACAAATGTGAAGTTAAACTCCTGCTCAGGGAAGAAGAGTAGGAGCCACAGAATACTTGCTTACCTGCCATAATGAGTGAACCCCAGTAATCGCTATCAGAACTTTCCTAAGATAATGAATCTGAAACAAAAATAATCCATTATAAAATGCTACAGTGTTCTTAAAGATTTGATAATGTGCAGAACTGTGCTGTGCTTGTTGTCTACAGGATGTCAGCTTA